TTCACGGCAGGCTCTGGTCCAACTAGTAATTGATAGAATCAGGATTTGAACCCCAGCTTGTCTGACTAGGGGTCAGCCCTTTCTCCCCCTACCTCACCACCTCCTGCCACCATCTTCCAGCCAAACTGGCCAATAAAGGGGGGCTAGAAAGTGAGGGACAGAGAGGCCTCTGTGCCCCTCATCTGTCAGACCATATTCTTGGCTGTTGTAGAATGAGCATTGCTAATCACAAGGCTAGGCCTGTCATTAACATCACGGAATGTCAGAGTGAGAAGAGACTTTTCAAGATAATCCACCCTTTCATCCTATAGAAAAGGAAATCGAGGCACAGAAAGACAAAGTGACTCCTTGAGTCCACCAGCTAGCTGGTAGTTGGCAGCAGCACCGGGACCAAAGCTCCTGGACCTGGACTCCCAGTTCAGTGCTCTCCCCACTGACTTTCTCAGGCCTTCAAACTCTCAAATTTATCTTTATCCTCTTCTTCTAAACGAGGCAGGGCTTGCTCCAGCCTTTGAAGTACCTGCAAAGTGTCACAGAAAAAGATTGTCCGGGTTTTTCTGCCCACAGGCTCTGCTGTCTGGGTCCCTGGCCTCACTGACGCTGCTGGTCTCTATCCCAGCAGGTGAGGATGCTTTAAGGTCTTCACTGTGTACTGAGTACCCAAGGAAACACGTGGGGCGACTCTGATGTGCAAAGCACGGTGCTCCCACTGCGGGAGGTGTACCATGAGTAAGAAGGGTCTCTGCCCGGAGAAAATAATGAGCCGGGGAGGAAGACAAATATTAAAGGGTCAGCGAGGCAGGGGGAGTGTCTACTGAGTTGAAGCTTGGACAGGGTGCTGTGGAAGCCCAAAGGAGCCAGTGATTCTGATTGGAGGCAACTGGGGAATGCTTCATTGAGGGTGTGGCCTTTGAGTTGGGTCTTGAAGCCTGAATAGGAGTTCGATAGATAGAAAATGGAGAGGTTGAGGAGGTATCAGCATCCCAGCTGATGGGAGCCACATGAGCCAGGAGTGAAGCACAAAAGTACTTGGATGTGTCTAGAGCTTAGAGAGGAATGGAGTGGAATATAAAACTGGAAAATAAGCACAGGGAACTCTACTCAATACTCCGTAATGGCCTATATGGGAAAAAAATGTAAAAAAGAGTGGATATATGTATATGTATAACTGATTCACTTTGCTGTACACCTGAAACTAATACAACATTGTAAATCAACTCTACTCCAATTTTAAAAAACCTGTAAAATCTTATGTGTATGATGCTTCGTACGTAATAATATGGAGCAACTAGTGAGAATTAAATTCTGTACCATTTATCCTGACTCAGACTGTGTCCTTTTCCTCACAAACTAAAGTCTTAAAAGCAGTGACTATACTCTCTTTTCACCTGATTCTTGGAAGAACTAGGGAAGCAGAAGCAGGCCGGGAAGGTCATGGGATGTTATAAATGAAGGGAACAGACATGCCCTGATCCAAACCCCTCCATTTATGGCTGTGCAAACCGAGGCCCCGGGAGGAGTGACTGGCCCACAGCAAGCAGGTGGCAGAGCGGTGGCAGAGCCAGGACCCCAGCCCAGGCCTCCCAACTCTCCACCCTGTGTTCTCTGTACCGGACAGGATTTCAGAAAATCCTCGCACGGAATGCTGACCAGTATAATGATTTGAAGGATGTAAAAAAATCTCTCTCTTACTGGCCCAAAGCTTCCTCCCCTGGAGTCACCAATGGATTAAAAAAAATACAAGGTTTGGAGAAGCCACAGCTGAGCAGTTTTTATCGTTTATAACGGACAGGGTTGACAGAGGTGCTTTCTGACACTTGGCCTTGGGCAGAGGGTGGGGCATCCCCATGGGGGGGCGGGGGTGGTGGTGAGGCACAGGCAGGTCCTGGAAGTCCTGGACAGAAGGGAGCAGAATAGGCTTCCAGGCCTTTGGCACCATCCCACCCAGGTCGAGGGCTGGCCAATGCGATTCCTGCCTATAGGTCCTGGGGGTTACTCAGAAAACGCGAGTGGCGCCAGTGCAATTACACCCACTGGTCCCCCCTCCTTAAAAGAAGGGAAGGAGGAGGGGCAGGAGGAGGAGACCCAGGCTGCCCTCCTGGGCTCCAAGGGCACTGTGCTCCCCTGCTGGTGGGTGTCCTGACCTCAGACATAATGAGAGATAATAGGAAAGACCCCAGCCATGGCACGTGAGTCCTGGACTTCCCACTCGCTTTGTGACCTTGGGCAACACCCTTCTTACTCTTTGGGCCTCAGTTTCCTCATCTGTAATGTGAGAAGGTTGGGCTAGATGATCTCTAAATGTCCTTTCAGTTCTGAAGTGCTGTGAGAACAAGCATTATCATTATTAATAATAAATGCCCTGCCCCTAAAGAGAGCTTTTTCCCTTTTCCAAAGCTCTTTCACTCATAATATCACCTTTCATCTGCACAGCAGTCTGGTCTGGTAGCCAGAGGTGAACAGACCTTGGACACATACATAGGCTTTCACACTGAAAACCAGGCTAGTGAGACACTTGCTCCCCTAGACTGGCTTCGGGGGAACTGGCTTCTGGGGTGATTGTGGCCAGGAACACAGAACCTAACTTGAGCCTGCACCCCTGGGAAGCCAGGAAAGGCAGTGCTTTTCTTCCAAAGAGCTGCAAGATGCCAAGAGGGAAAGCCTGCAACAGGATGAGTTCATGGCCAAAGGGGCAGGACCAGAAGTTTGTGGCGGATCAAAGCGTCTGACACAACCCAAAGACCTTTGAGGGGAGGGGGAGGGGACAAAGAGCCACCAATCAAGGCCTTCCCAGCAGGCTCTGGTCAAAGACCTGAGTCTTAGGGGAGAAGAAGTTGTTATAGAACCTCATATTGTCTGATTTACATGTAGATCATCCCCTTTGATCCCTTACAACAATCTGTTCAAGAGCTAGTGTGATTAGCTATTCCATTTACAGTGAAAATAAATGAAGGCTCCAGGAGTCATTACGGAGAAGAGGACGGGCTTGGAAGGCAGATGGAAGTCTCTTCCCAGCAGAATGCCCTTGGGGGATTCTCTGCATTGCCTTTAGCCTCAGTTTCTACATCTATAAAATGGACATAACCATCCCTTCCTTTCAGGATCATGGTAAAGACTAGAGATAATGAATGTAACGTGCCTCGCCTGATACAAGGCAGATGTTTGATACATACTTGTTGCATGAATGGTGGAAGAAAGGGATGAGTTGGGGGCACTCCTGGGAGAAGCAGTGTAGTGACCGGCAGTGACAGGTCAGCCCAGGATGTGGACAGATGGTACTCCCGCTTCTGGCTGGCTGCCTCCTGAGCCCACCCTCAGAGGTCTTGGGGCCTCTCGCATGTCTCTCCTCATGGCCCACGCCAGGGTCCTGTGAAAGACTTTTTGACCCTCCTTGGCAGTGGGATTTGCATTCCAGTCATTCTGCTCACTCAGCCCATCCAAGTCTGGAGTTGTTTGGAGCTAAGCAGGGCCTGTGGGATCATCTGCCGTGGCACCTCATCGAGGAGATAAGGAAGCAAGACTCCGAGGGGGCGATGACTCCTCGCCTGAAGTCCCACAGCCTGCCGTCCTCGCCACCACTGCACCATGTTGACAAATGAAGAAACTGAGGTGTAGGAGGAGGTCTGCTGGCTCCTCCAATTTGTCAGCGAGGCTCCTGATCTGGACCCCTCCCCCCCCACCCTATTTCAGTTAGATCCCAGTTCTATTGGGATGCCCCGTGGTGGTGTCCAGTACTATCCCTGGCAGCCCGGCGCAAGCCCAGCCTGGCCAGCTGGTGCAGGTCAGGGGCCATAGGTGTCAGGCCTGTCCTCGAAGTCCCCTGGGGAGCAGAGCAGGAGACCCTAGGACTGGGTGCTAGTGGCCTAGGCTACCAGCCTGTGCTTTCTCAGCCAGTTCCAGGAGCTGTGCTGACCTAGGAAGGGACACATTTCACGAGAGCAGGACTTTCCCTTGGGTGTTGGCCTATGTGTGCCCGGTCCACAGCTGTGCCCTCCTATTTCTGAGACAGCCAGCAGACTGGCACAGGGGAGGGACTAGGGCCTGGGAGGAGGGAAAGCTTGGCTGAGTCCGAGTGCTGACACTAACTCACTGTGTGCCCTTGCACGGCACTGGACCTCTCTGTGCCTCAGGTTCCTCACCTACATAGTAAAGGGCAGGACAGCAAGGCCCGAGGTCCCGTCCAGCTAGAGCCTGTTGTGATTTTGGTGGAGGGATGAAGGTGGGGTGGCCCAGAGGCCTGACTGGCCCAGTTCCTTTCCCCTTCCTTGCTTCTCTTTTTCTGTGTCGTCGGTTTATCTCCAGCTATCCAGGTCTCTCTGTCTCTCGCCTGCGGCTCTTTCTGTTTCCATCTTTCGCTCTGTGCCTCTCTCGCTCTGTATTTTTCTGCCTGCCTCTTCTTTTTTCTGTGTCTATGAGTCTACCTCTGGTTTTATCTCCTTGTCTGTCACACCCCCTTCTGACTCTTCTCTCTCTCTTCCTCTGTAGTTATATGCGTTTCTCTGCCTACTTATCTTTCTCTGGGTCTCTCCCTCTCTCTCGCTCTCTGTCCTGCCCGGTCTCTCCGCTGCTCTCCCGTCGCTCCCCCTCCCCTCCCCCTCCGGCAGCCCCCCCTCCTCCCTCCCTCGGCGCGTCTCCCCAGTCCTTATTTGGCTGGGCGGGAGGGCTGGCGGGAGGAGGCGGCCTGCGGGCGGGGGGCGGGGGGCGGGAGCGGGGCCGGGCGGAGGAGGGCGGTGGGTGGTGCTGAAGGGACAGCTCCGCGGCGGCGGCGGCGGCGGCGGCGGCGGCGGCGTTGGCGGCTGCGGCCCCGGGGCGCGGAGTGGGTGCCCGGCGCGCGGAGCAGCGAGCGCAGCCATGCCCCAGGCCGCCTCCGGGGCAGCAGCAGCGGCGGCCGGGGCCGGGGCGCGGGCCGGGGGCGCCGGGGGGCCGGCGGCGGCCCGGGCGGGACGATGAAGCGGCAGAACGTGCGCACGCTGGCGCTCATCGTGTGCACATTCACCTACCTGCTGGTGGGCGCCGCGGTCTTCGACGCGCTCGAGTCGGAGCCAGAGATGATCGAGCGGCAGCGGCTGGAGCTGCGGCAGCAGGAGCTGCGGGCGCGCTACAACCTCAGCCAGGGCGGCTACGAGGAGCTGGAGCGCGTCGTGCTGCGCCTCAAGCCGCACAAGGCCGGCGTGCAGTGGCGCTTCGCCGGCTCCTTCTACTTCGCCATCACCGTCATCACCACCATCGGTAACTACTCGCCGGGCGGGGGGCGGGGACCCGGGGGCTGGGCGCCGGGTTATGGGGTAGTCCGGAGCCGGCTGGGGCTGGGGGGTTCCCCCGGAGAGAGTCTAGGCGCCGAACCCCGCGCTCCCAGAAACCCGAGTTCAGCCTGACGTGTCTGCTCCGTAGGGACAGGGCTCGGGGGAGGCGTCGAATCCTGGCTCCGGACTTGACTCTCCAGCAGGGCCAGCCCTAACTTGTCCCTGCCAGGCTGCGAGAGGGCCCCAGGGGACTCTGAAGTGTGTGAGAGGGGCAGGAGCGACGGGCGGCGGCTGGGGAGGAGGGGTGTGGCCGCGCCAGGCCCTGGAGCAGGGCGCCGAGTGTAAGTGGTGGGGAACGCTCGACTCCTCCGTGTCCTTGCAGATCGGCTCCCGGACCCCAGCGTGTCTACACCGACTGGGGCTTCAGGGAGACGTGTGGATGCAGGTACTTGGCACTCTGAGGCACACGGGGACGCTCTGGGTGCCTGGAACACTCCATAACTGTGGCTATGAGTACTTCTTGGGGTGTGTGTGTGTGTGTGTGTGTGCGTGTCTGCGTGCACGTGTGTGCCCAGCGCCAGGAGTTTAGGCTCTGCCAGCCAGTGCCTTTAATTTTCTTAGGGCAGCAGAGCTGGTGCTGGAAGCCAGACCCGGCCCTGTCTGCCTTCTTTACTGCTGTCCCAGGAAAACAGTCACCTCACAGGAATCGGCCCAGTTCTCTTCTTCCAGCCAGGGCAGACCTCAGTGTAGGAGGCCACACACACCCAGACTCTCTCACAGTATAGGCACAGGTGCACACACAGGCACACACGCAAGCTCACACAGGACATACACGGGCACACACACAAGGCGCACAAGTGGGTATCCAAGAAAGAATCTCCAGTGAGGCCCTTGATGTGCTATTCAGGTGTCCAAACAGGGATAAACACCTTACCCACTCCCAAGACTATAATTCCAGCCCAGCTCCATTACTTGTCCCATTGTATGACCTTGGGCAAGTCCCTTCCCCTGCCCGAGTCTCAAGTTCACCTCCAGACAATGAGGGTTTGGCCGAAATGATCTCCAGGGCTCCTCCGGGTCCTGATGTGCTCCCAGCCCACCTTCCCCCAGAGCTCACTAGGATGCGTCCAGGAGCTGTTTCCTCCATCTTTCCCATTCCTTCTCCTCTCCCTGGTCCTCCTCCTAGCCTTGGCTGAGCTCCCACGGGCTCATTGCCATTTGGCATAGCCCATGACAAGATGGCAGTGTTTTCCTGGGAGTCAACAGGAGCCGAGAGGGGTAAAAGGCAGTACTGGACGCCGTCCCTGCCGTTTGTCCACTGCAGGACTGTCCCGAGATTCCGCTGCTCTCTGGAGACCGCAGGGAGCTATGCTATGTGGTTTCTGGAAGATGATGAAAAGGACCCCAGGAGTGGATGTGGCCCAAGTGGGGGCACCTCTGGGTCCTGCTGATGCTGTGAGTTTAGTGCAGGATGGTCAGACTCAGGCCTGCCCAAAGAGGAGCCTGCTTTCCTGGGAAGGACCAGACTGGGTTTTGTCTGGCGTCTCCTCCCCTCTCCCACCTCCCTGCCACCTGCCAGGGTTTCAGGAGCACGTTGGTGTGTGCCCCATCTTTCTCAGTACCCTGGTCCCCAGCTCCACAGTAACCACCCAACTGACCTCCTTGCCTCCAGCCTCATTCCCCTTTAGGGCAAGCTCCTGAGGATAATGCTGCCAGAAAGAATCTCCCCAAAGCACAGCTCTGACCATACCAATACCCTTCTCAGAAGCCCTCAATGCCCCCCTGCTGCCCATGTAATCCATAAATCCATACTCCTCATCCCAAATTTTCAGGACCTCATACCTGGCTGCAATCTCTATGTCCAACTTAATTTCTCACTTCTTACTGACATGATCTCTCCACTGCAGCCCAACTGTCCCTTGAGAACACCTGAAGTGTGCCTATCTGGCATGCCTTTTTCTCTGTCTTCTATTTATCTTGTCCAAGCTAACCTTCCAGGTCCGGTTCAAATCCCATCTCCTCCTTGAAGTCTTCCAGACCATCCCAGGCCACTGGCTCTGGATGACTGCAGGACTTACTGTCAAGACCAGCTGAGTGACACAGTGTAGGCTGTTTTGCACAGCTGTTTACATTTCAGGGGGTGTATTTGGTCTCTTTAACCACAGGGGGTGTAATTAACCTCCATGGGGGCAGGGCCCTGTGGTTCCCATCTCTGTGCTCGCAGTGCCGGCACAGTACCCAGCAATACACAGGAGCACTCAGAGAATGCTACTGATGGGTTTAAGGTGTGCAGAAGTGAGACGGCATCATCCTTCCCCTCCATCCCTGCCGTTTCCCAAAGTGTTTGTAGTCCTCACCAAGAGAGATGCTAAAAGCTGGGGGTAGAGGCAGACAGAGTGTGGTTCTGATGATTTTTTGTTTGTTTGTTTGTTTTTGCGGTGTGTGAGCCTCTCACTGTTGTGGCCTCTCCCGTTGCGGAGCACAGGCTCCAGATGCGCAGGCTCAGCAGCCATGGCTCACAGGCCCAGCCGCTCCACGACATGTGGGATCTTCCCGGACCCGGGCACGAACCCGCGTCCCCTGCATTGGCAGGCGGACTCTCAACCACTGCGCCACCAGGGAAACCCTGATTTTTTTTATTTATAAGGAGCTTGGCAAGAGGAAAGAGAGCATAAAAGAACACCCTAGTTCTGTGGGGGCCCTAGACTGTCACTGCCCACTCTGCCCCACCCAACCATCACTGGCTTTTTGTCACCTCTCACTCTGGCTATGATACCTGGCTGGGAGCTATCCATATGGGCTCAGATCTAAGAAACAGCTCTCTGGGCTGTGATCAGATGGTTGGAAAGGGCCCTATATTAGACTGATCTTGACCCAAAGGCAGCAGTCTGTGTCCACCTGACCCCTTTGGGGACACAAATGGGTCTCCTGAGAGACTGGGAGTCCCTTTGGGATAGAATAATGACAACATTTCCCATTCATTCAGTGCCTTAGTGATCACAATGCACTTTCATCTCATTTCTTGAGTCTCAGCCTTCATAGCTCAGGGGAGTTGCCAGGGCAGGTACTGTTAGCTCCCTTGCACAGATGAAGGCATGGAGGCTCAGGAAGGGGAAGGGACTCCCTCAAAGTCACGCAGCTGCTGAGCAGCGGAGTTACTTAGAGCGAGAAGCAGGGACTCCTGACTCTAAGCCCAGTGTTCCTTCCCCTGCTGGTTTCTTGGCCGCTTCCTCTGCCTCCATATGCTGTGAAGCCCAAAGCCAGCCAGGATTGGCATGGCCATGACGTGCTCAATCATGCCGGCTTGCAGGGCGCTCATGGGCAGCCCCGATTGGTTGAGGGTCAACAGGGTCTGAGTTAGTCATTCACCTGGTTAGTCACAGTCACCACGAATTGCGAGGATTCCTCCAGCTCCCTCGTCCCTAGTCTCCCAGACAGGAAACCCTTCCTTTGTTGGGCCCTAAGTTCATCAAATGCAAAGGGAAACTCTTTTTTGGGAAAGCTTAACCTCTCTAGCTGTTGAGTCATTAGGCTCCTCCGGGGCCCCAGCCACATCTATTCATAGCCTGGAGGCTGTCAGAGCAGGAAAGGGCCTTGAGATCAGCTGGTGCCACCCCCTCCTCTTACCGAGAAGGAAGCAAAGAGGTGATGGGAATAGGGTAGTCAAACCTGACTCGCAGGCCCCCGCTCCTTCCGCTTGTGCAGACTGCTTCTTTATTTATTATTATTATTAACAGCAACGACAACAATACTGATGGCAGCCACCATTTGTTAACTACGCTCGGGCAGCCTGTATACAAGACACTTCATTTATATTCCCGTTCAGTTCTCTCCCCAACCCTTCAAGATGGGCATTATTATTCCCATTTTTCAGGGGTGGAACCTAAGGCTCTGAGTGTAAATGACTCACCATGGCCTTGTGACTTGAAAGTATAGATTCAGTGGAGCCTCTCTGAGTCCCATGCCCTGTATTTTTTTACCATTTCTTTCTCTACTTAAAGAACCCAGCCCAGACCCTTGTACTTTGGGGACGCCACGTAGCCAAGGCTTGTCTCTTCCTCTGGCAAAATCCTCCCCAGAAAGAGAGGGCCTCTGGCTCCAACAAGCTACAGCCAGCCTCTGCTCCCCTGCACACTGGCCCCTGACCAACCCAGACCACGTGCCACAACTGTGCCCAGCACCAGGCCCTCCCGGAGACTGCCATGGGCTCACAGGTGCCCGTTCTCCCACCGCAGGTCCCTGGATTCCTTGTGGCTCTAAGGCAACAAGAGGCCAGGTGATTGATTAAGCTGATGGAGCTGGGACAGAAAACCTTCTGTTCTGCTTTCTCCCCAGCTTCCAGCAGAGCACAGGCTCCCATCGCCCACCACGTGGCCTGGGAATCCTTAGATTGTGAATTCAAGCAGGTAGTTCATGAGGGAACCTGTACTTCTTACATCTTTCTAAGAAGGAGGAAAGTATAGGAGTGACCTGCCACACACCAAAATCCCAGAGTCCTCAAATAAAAAAGTGAAAGGAGACAGTAGCAGTCATCCAGACATCCAGAGAGGTGAGTGACTTGCCCAAATTCACACAGCAAGTCGCAGGTACAACCCTTTGGGTGCCTAGACTAAAGATCTCACCATCACCCCAGCCTGTTTTCCTCACGACCCCCACTTTGCTCTTAGCACCAGGGCCTCCGTCCGCTTATCACTCAGCTGTTCCCAGTACTCTCTTGACTTCCCGGGGGATGGAGGGGCAGCGCAGCCTGAAACGGCCCCACTGTCCACTCTCAGTCAGTATTTCCTTCCTCGCTGCCCACAGGCCACCCCTCTGCTTCAACTGTACAGCCTTTCCTGAGGGCGGCATATGAACACGGGTGCTGGCTTAGAAGCCCGAGTGCCTGGCTTCATCATTCAATCCCCTCTCCGCTCGCCACCTCCACCGCCTGCTACTAGTTGTGTCACTTTGGACAAGTTACTTAGTCTCTCTGAACTTGCTTTGT